ATACACATACACATACACATACACATACACATACACATACACATACACATACACATACACATACACATACACATACACATACACATACACATACACATACACATACACATACACATACACATACACATACACATACACACACATACACATACACATACACATACACATACACATACACATACACATACACATACACATACACATACACATACACATACACATACACATACACATACACATACACATACACATACACATACACATACACATACACATACACATACACATACACATACACATACACATACACATACACATACACATACACAGTACACATACACATACACATACACATACACATACACATACACATACACATACACATACACATACACATACACATACACATACACATACACATACACATACACATACACATACACATACACATACACATACACATACACATACACATACACATACACATACACACACACACACACACACACACACACACACACACACACACACACACACACACACACACACACACACACACACACACACACACACACACACACACACACACACACACACACACACACACACACACACACACACACACACACACACACACACACACACACACACACACACACACACACACACACACACACACACACACACACACACACACACACACACACACACACACACACACACACACACACACACACACACACACACACACACACACACACACACACACAGACATCATCGCGAAAATAGTTAAAACGGATTCAGGGGATCTGAAAACGTAAAAATCCGTCGAAAACTCGAGGTCGAAAAAAATCATGATTCCTATACTTTCCTTATATCTGTATACAGATAGGAAAGTAAAAATGAGTTAAAGTAACAACATGGAATTTGCAAATTATTCGTTTTAATTTTGTGCACAACTTAAATGGTTTCTGGTAAACAAAGCCAACTTGATACGAATGTTGTATTAATACTGGGAATTAAATAAATGTATTATTCACGTTTAATTATTACTAATTTTTAAAATTTGGCATGCGCCCCAGCAAAAATATTTAATTGCAAAAAGAGGTAAAATGTTCAAGGAAATTAAATATATGTACCCCAAACTGGAGCTCTGCTAATCTCTTAAAATATCGCTATTAAAAAGTGGATAAATTGTTCAATATAAAAAATATTCAAAACCCATCAGCTCAAATATAATTATAATTTTCAAAATTAAATCTAACTAAATAAAAGCCTTATGTTTAAAAGGTTTAAACTTATCTCAAAATAGTTTAGCAATGTTTAATGTCAAATACAAAATTGAACCTTAAGTTTTTTGTAGTTAAACTTTCACAAACTTTCTATTAACTTTTGACAAGTACACAGAAATCTTTAGTGTGTTTGACGTTTGCTACATCACTACGGGAAACCATGGAAACAGAGAACAAATGTTGTTGATTTTAGATACTTCAAAGCCTGCTTGATCAGAATCGAGTAACGAGTGTTAAGTTTAGAAAAAAAATAGGGGACAACAACTACTCCTTTGGTTATTACCTCACCAGTAATTGAATTACTTCAAAAGAGAAAGCAGAGATAGAAAATATTTTCGATACTCTACCTTTGATTTTGCTGACTAAGGCGAAAGTCATTCTTGGCCCAGTTTCGTTCTTATTAGGACTCTTCAGCAAGAAGTAGAAAATCTCGACTCCAGTTTCTAATGGCAATACGAAATTCACTCGAACACATTAACAGCAGATTGAGCATGGGTAGATATTCAACGAGCGAAAATGTTACTAACTAATAATTTTTCTTTAAATCTTTTCACTTTTCTTGCTATTGAAAATGCTTTATAGTCAAGATTTTGTTGTTCTATAGACTAGCAGTTCTTTTTTACATACATTGCAAACTTCAGTCAAGTTATAATTTAATTAATAGCACTTTAAAATTGATAGCATATTAGATGTACTTATATTCAAGCTAGGAAAAGAGAAAAAACACTGTCACAATGTTATCTTTAAATTAAGGAAAAAAATTCTAACTGACAACGTCGCAGGTTTTTTATCATGTGACGTCACTGCCTTCTTATCGTAAAAATATTTTAGTATTTAAATCGGTTTGAAATAAATCTGTGTGAATAGTAGTCACCCCGACATTAACTTAGATGTTTTAAGTATAATGTTCCCTAATTTCACCTTTAACTTATAAAAAATTTAATGTTATTTAAATATGTACCTAGTTAAAAAAGAGAGACAATATTATTAGATAACAATTTTTTATTCTTAGGTTTTACATCTTGAAAATTGATTAACATAACAGCATAACATAAAATATCTATACAAATCGTTACAATATACAAACACTTATTCTTTTCGTTCCTCTCGGATGTTTGCAACATTACAACAGCAAAACCCTACATCGCTTCTCTCCGTAAGGTGGCAGTATGAGGTATTAAAACTTTGTTGATATGCTTATTTACCTATAATTTGAGCAAGATTTGAATTCTTAACATTAATATTTTTTTGATTCTGACAAACTTCTTTGGAAAACAGGTAACAGGTACACTTCGCGTAATATTAAAAATGGTACAACTCTTATAACAAAAATCGTGCTTTTCAAGGTGTGTAAATTGATCTTTTAAAATGTGTCAAAGTTAAACTACTTTTTCGGTTATAATTTCTAGAACAACGTTGTCTGCACAACAAAAATATTAGTAGATGCAATGATACAAATAAATTTGGTAAAGTAATAAAACGCAATGGAAAAATTAAAAATTTAATGCAATCTAAAATGAATAAGTTTGAAACTTAAATACATTTGACAATTCGATAGTATCGATAGAATTGAAACAGATGATCTCATGCGTTTTCCAAAAGATATGTTTGTCATAGTTTTTTTTTACTTACAGTCACTTTAGTGTCCCTTTTTTTAAAATTTGTATTTTTATTGTACCCTATTTATCCATTAAATTCTATTTTAATTATTATTTTCTCTAATATATTTTAAATACAATAAAATAAAAAATCCCTAATTTAAATACAGTATTAACATTTTAATAGTGCCACTCGTGGCGAAACTTTATTTTTAATCCTCATTATCATTAATATTATTACAACATGAGGATTTGTGACGCTCATGTACTCGAGTTCTGCCAAAACAAACAGTTGAACACTTAACATTAAATGTGCGTTAGTTTGTCTCTTACTATCTCTACGGATAAAGCTTACAAGCTTATTGCATAAATCTGTAATGGCTTGTTAGCCTGAAGTGAGATATACTCATCCTCTTTAAGGGTGGCGTCTGGCCAACTCGCGAACACTGTTTATCTAGACAATTTGGCAATTTTTTATACAAAATCATTGAAAGAAAATATTTAAAAATGATTTTAACTTTGTAACTTTTCTCTATGTCACGTGATATACCACATAATTGTGTTTTCATAAAAAAAATTATATAATTTTAAACAAAGCTTTCAAAAAAAACTAAATATTTTGAAGTGTGATGTGTTTCATTATTTTTCTGTCTTAGTTTTACGGGTTGTAACAGAAAGACAACATATAGTTTTAAAGAAAATTCCTAGGAAAGTCAATGCGATTATATGTGGTTTAGATACCGAAAGTCAAAGTCTTTTTTCGAGTACATTAGAACAACTCCGTTTCTTAAGAAGTACAATTCCTAGGCCAAGGGCGGCTATAGGGGGGGGGATATGCCTCCCCCCTCATGGATGAAAATTCTTACGATTTAAGAGCCTCGAAGAAATATCGCGCAATGGGGTCTATTCTGTAACAATTCCTTTATATTTAAAGGCCTTTAAAAATATTTTCTTCTTTAATTCGGTCACTATTTAAACGGATCTTTAAAATACATTAGAGGACTATCTTAAAGAAATCTGTTTAAATAATGACAGAAGTAAATTAACGAATACAAATATACTTTTAAAGGCCACCAATATTTTTAAAGGCCGTTAAATATAAAGGAATATTTACAGAATAGACCCCAATATCTACTAAGCGGAGATCTGTGAAATGTTCAGGAGAGCCATAAAACTATTTCAGTTTGAAGCTATAACTTTTAGGATGTATTTTATTTCGCCAAACAGTATATTTTGCTACTACTGATCAATAAATAAGTGAAAAATATAAATGATCTATTTTTTTAATTTTAAATAGAGATAGGCTAATTTGTACTCATTGTTTTTTAAAATAGGACACATTGCTTGGAATTTAATTCTAGAATAGAATTATTTGCTTTACAATAATTTTGGCCCAGAATAAAAAAAGGGTGTTTGGCAAAAAAACCCTGTTTATTTTTAAAAGTACAGAAATAAGTAAGGTTTTTAAATTATACTAAATAATCAAATAAATTCGACTTTAAAAAATAATCAAAAACAATAATTTTTATTGTTTAAAACAAAAACCCAAAAATTTAAAACAAAACTAATAATTAATAAACATTAAGAAACACAAATATTAGGTATCTAATTCAGAAGGTTAAATTTTTAAATTTTAATGTAGAAAACTGTCATAAAACTGCCATATATCTTTTGGCAAAACTGTCTTTAGTTCTTTTTGATTTTACATGGTCCATTTAGTAATTGCGGATAATCCAAAATAGTCTCAATATTCTTTGGTCTTACTGGATGCTCAATAAATTCGCCATCGTAATCTCGTAATCTAGTTTTACACTGATTCCATCCTTGGTGTATTTAATTATTTTAATATCTGTATTGGAAGAAAAATCTAATATTTTAACAATGTATTGGTTTGGTTTCGTTCTTGCTTCTTTTGTTATGGTAGCATAGTCACTGGGTAAATGAATTTTTTTGTTTTTCTGCTTTCTTCCTATTAAACTATGAACCGAGTCACACTCCATTTGGGTGTGACTCGGTTCTAGAAATTTTTGGTAAATGGTGAAATTGTGTTCAATAGCCAAGTTAAGAAGGTCATTGGACAAAACATTATTCCTATTATGATATCCACACCCGTCAGAGTACAAGATAATTGGAATAGTTGCAGTCAAAAAGTTTTCACTAATATTGTCAATTATCATGTTAGTAAAAGTTGAGGCCTTTAGTTGGTTGTTTTGGTCTTCACTAAATCAGTAGCACATTACTTTCCTTGATGTTAGGTTATACACAGTGAAATTATGATAACAAGCTTTGTTTTAAAATAAACTGTACCGGCTGGAAAAAACGGACAAAGCTTCACCGCCTGAAGATCCATTGTTAAAACTATACATTCTCCTCTTGCTACATTTTCCTTATCCTCCGCTTTGCCTTTTCTTGCTTTTTTTTCGCTCAATATGTTTATTATATACTTTGTTCGGATACATTCTCATACTTGTAAGAAAAACATGTATATTGGTCTTTATTTTGCTTTCTTTCTTGATTTTGGCTGCGGCAAGTCTCTTTGTAAACCTTGTAAAAATCCATCATTGAATTGAACGTATTTTCTAAGTAGACTTTTGCTGAATTCCATCTGCAATAATGAGCTGAAAGCTTGGGCAATTCATCAAAAAATTTGTTTATAAATTCATAGAATGCCGAGTATCTAGATGAAACTGCTTGGCTCATTGAAACGCTAGTATTTTTAAAGGTCATACCATGAGAGCTATTGTTTACCCAATATTGTACAGTTTTATACCCAATTGACAAGGTATTAGTAAACATCGTGCGACATAATTGTAACTGTTGATTTTTGTTGTTTAAAAAATACTTAAAAGTCCCCTTTCTTCTTTTGGGGAGACAAAAACCTTTCTTTGTTTCCAGTTCATATGCTTCCAAAACGTGTCAAATATTTGCTGTCAGTATTCTTCTGCGAATTTCCAGCAGTTTATTTTTAATTTAGATTTTTCACACATTTTTGACATACGGGGGTTTTAAAATTCTTGGGTCCCGTTTTTTGTTCTGCAACATATTTTTTTCTTTCCTTTTTGTAAAACCCAAATATTCCAAGCCTTGCATACACAGCCGTTTGTTTGTTCTTTTCTCGCTTTCTGGCATCTTTATCATGTTTACTTTCTTTTTCTGCTTGCATGTACAACAAGATTTGGTTTTCATTTATTGGGTTCACTTCTTCGACCTCTTCATTTTCTCCTACCGTCCCAAGGTCTTTAATTTTCTCATTAATGCTATCAGAACTCTGATAATGTATCACTATCTCCTTCCGCTAAATAACTAGGGTCGCTGTCATTATTACTATCTCACCACTATCGCTTGAAGAGTATGGTACCAGTGGGTAATCAGTGGTTCCTTCAGACAATATGTTTTCATCTTGAACTCTTTCTTGAATAATAGTATAACTACTGGTGTCATTGTTATGAATGTTTTTACTTATATCATAAATTTTATTTTCACAGCCTTCATCATCTGAGATCAATCCAAATAAATTATACTCTTGATTGCTTAAGTTTCTTTGGTCTAATGAACTTTCATAGCTAGTAGTTTCATGTTTTTTATTAACCATAGCTGTAGGTAAAAAACACTCTTCTCCATCGTCTTCAAAACTTTTGACAACTTGTACTAAACTATCATTACAATAATTTTTATTTACGACAAACCCATCATCAAAAATAATAGGTACATTTTCTAACGATTGGAAGCTTTCTAAATTTGATGTGTTTCGTTCAGGTGTTTCAATAATATTTTGAGATTTTAAGAGACAAATTTGTTTTTCCCCTTGACAACATTGTGGAATTTCTCCTATCTTAAAAAATGTTTGCTTGTAATTTCTCTTATCTGAGAATAATTTAATTTGACTTAAAACAATGACATTTGTTTGTACTTTTATAGGTATAGTGGTGCATATTTGTATATTTTACAACATAAAAAAAGAATTTTACTAATTACTCACCAAAACGATATAGTAATGGCAGTTAAATGAAAAACACAAAAACACGTGTACGAGGTATGGCAGTCTGCATTGCTACTGCGACAATAGAAGAAATTGTAGCACATCGTTAGAGATCGGTTCGGGTAGAAGATATTTCAACGCCGTAACAATTATAGTTTAAAATTTTTCTGGATTAAGAGAATTTACAGACACATGCGTATATGATGTCTTAATTCATATTAATAATAATGTCATTTTGTAAAAAAATCGAGTTAGGAGATATTGCGCGGGCACCAGCGATATGCTAAAAAGGGAATGGCTAACGGCAATCCCCCCCCCCCCCCCCGAAAATTTGTCTTGGAGTCGCCCTAGACACACTTCATGAACGGTTGTCAATATTAGTATATTTTTCCTAAAAGCTTCGTTTAAAGTCAACCGCACATATACAGCAGATTTCTATGGGCGAACGCCAACCTTAATACTTTTTATTATAGAAACACCCGTCGACAATTTTATTCTCCGTTCTCTTATAGTGTCTCTCTGACATCCTTATATACACTCTTGATGACTTTAATCGGCTTTTCCATCACTACAAGTTTCCTTAAGTAATTCTCCATTGTTTTCCTTTGAATTGTATTAAACGCAGCATGTAGCTTCAAGAAACGCTATAAATAATTTCTCTCTCCCGTTTCTATAAATTACAATATTCGGCGGTTTTATTTTCAAAAAGAATTTCAACGATAAAGGAATCTAAGGGAGAGAATAATAAAAAGACGGTTTTGGGATTTTAGGATTTAGGACAACCTACTTTCACGTTTGGATGCCTGCCAGGAAGAGCAGGCAGACAAAGGATCGTTTTTGTATTGCTATACAGGTTATGGAAAAATTTTGAGTGAGCAAATAATTCTGCGCGTGATTCATTCATTCTTTGACCGTAAAATTAAGGAATGTATACAATTAAAATTGAAAACAAGTAATTTCAGTCCAACCTTGTATATAATACAAATAAATATTATTTGAAACCAACTTAGAAATATAGGGTGTCCCATAATAGGTGGGAAATTTCTCGGATTCAGATAGAACATGACAGGATCCTATACATTTTTTTCCTGCGACCCCCTTTTTTCGTAGATATGGTCCCACAATGGACACACTTGAAAAATATTTTTTTTTAATAATTTTCAAAGTTCTTGGCATAATTTAAATAATTTTTAAATACGAAAGATACTAGATAAGTCCATTTTAAACACATTTCGCTTATTTAGTTTGCCAGGGACGGACTAGCTTTATCACAATAGAATAGAATAGAATATTTTATTAACCTTCATTACATAAAAAATACACAAGGCAAGTCGTACAATAAGTATATAAATGTAAAATTTAACAATAATAATAATAATAATTTATTTTTATTTTTTATTTTTGCAGACCCATATCACATAGTTTTATTGATAAATTCCGTAATAGAGTAAAAAGAGCTTTTTTTGTAGGTATATTTTAACTTTTTTTTTTAAATATTCGTATGTTGCTTGTGATTTTAGTTCTTCAGGCAAAGCATTATAGATAGTAATACAGTTATATAAAGGAGACCTTCTGAAAGTTGTTGTCTAGTAGCTAGGGAGTCTTAAATTGTCATTCCTTGTGTGATGTTTAATAAATTCAGAGAGGTACTTACTTGTAAACGTAGTACATTTGAAAATATATATACACGGAAATGTTAAAATTGATTTCGTTTTAAAAATGTTTTTGCAATTTTCGATATTTTTTAGATTAAATATTAAACGAAGTATTCTTTTTTGGGACACAAACACCCTATTACTCTCTGTGGCTTTTCCCCATGACAAAACATTATAAGATAAATGAGAATAAGCAAATGCATAATAAAGATCAAGCAAGCCTTTTTCATCCAAATAATCTATCATCTGAAATATTGCATAAAAAGTTTTATTCAGTTGTCCACATACATAGTCTATGTGATGTTCAAAGCTCATGTTTGAGTCCAACCATGTACCCAATAGCTTGGCATGCGTTTCAAATTCTAAACGGAAGTTCTTTACTTATTGACTCTGGTAAAAATTTCTTTATATGAAAGTTTAAACATACCGTTTTGTCTTCATTAAGAATTAAAGAGTTTTTATGGCACCATTGTTTCATTTGACTGAATACAGAAGGCATTCTCTTGAAGCTCCTCCGGAGTCCTGCCTGTGACCGTTATTGTAGTATCATCTGCAAACATTATGGTCTTACCTCCATGTATATGTGTGTGCAAGTCATTTACAAAAAGCAAGAATATTAACGGTCCCAAAACAGAACCCTGAGGAACCCCGAGAGATACAGGGTACATTTTTGAAATATCAGAGTTTATTTTAACTAACAATTTACGGTTTCCTAAGTAGGACTCTATCCAGTCTAGCAGTTTCCCACGAATTCCCAATGTAGTTAGCTTATTTAAAATGAATTCTTTCTTTAGGGTATCAAATGCCTTTGACAGATCGAACATAATTGAAATGACATATTTACCTTTGTCCAATTCATTATATACCAGGTCTTCAACAATACCCGAAACCCACGTGATCTGGTAGCATCAAAAACACAGCGAAAGGGCCTGATTTGGTTCCTTATATGTCAACTGTCGTTGTCAATACTGTCAAAAATATCATTAGCGTTCATTTGGGTTTTTGGGTATATTTATATTATTTAAAGGTTATTGATTTTACATTTTGTCAACGCGCTTTTATTCAATTTTTCCTCAAATAATAATAAACCAATCAGTTCTTTTTAGAGCTCATTAGTGCTTTCATTCTTTTTGCCGGTAAGTGTAAATTTATTTACTTTTTTACAAGTTTATTGACAATATAATTATCAGCTCAAAATGTTTACACTGGAACAAGATTCTTTTATTTTAATGGCACATTATAGAAGTGGATCTCGAAATGATGATGGAACTTGGTCATATTCAATTCAGAGTTGCATTCAACAATTTGAGGAACGTTTTCCAGCTGTACAAATAGAATATGATAGTTTTCGTCATCATAGACATATTCTTGTTCAACGTTTTGAAACGAAAAATTGCATTTGTAAAGGAAAGGGGTCTGGAAGACCGAAGAAGTTGTCCAAGATGTGCGAATTCGCATGGAGCAAAGTCCCACTAAATCAGTAAAAAATTTAACAGCTCAAGCAGGTAAGAGCAGTGTTTGGGAGCTTGACTCTCTTATAATCTAATTTCATCGTTTTAGATTTATCTGTAGGAACTAGCCATAAGATTTTGAAAAAAAATCTATCAATGCATCCTTATAAGGTTTCAGTACTGCAACAATTGTTTCCTGGTGATTTTGTTATACGTATGGAATACTGTCGATGGTTCAATGAGCAATTAAATGACAATAACTTATTGGATCGAACTTTTTTTACTGATGAAGTATGGTTTCACTTATCAGGATATGTCAATAGTCAAAATTATCGAACATGGGCAACTGAAAATCCTCATTTATTTGTGGAGACAAGTCTACATCCCATAAAAGTTGGTATTTGGATAGCAATTTCAAGAAGAAGAAGAATAATAGGGCCCATATTTTTCTATGACACAATTAATGGCCAACGTTATCGAAATATTTTTCTTGAATTTGTTGAACAGCTACAGGATGACGAGTTACAATTGGGTTATTTTCAACAAGATGGAGCAACAGCTCATACAGCTAGAGCTACTATTGACCTAATAGAAGAATATTTTGATGACCGAATTATTAGTAGAGGATTATGGCCTCCAAGACCTCCAGACCTCACACCTCCTGACTACTTTTTATTTGGTCATACAAAAAATAAAGTATTCAGAAATCGTTTGCATGATGTAAATGAATTGGAGCAAGCTATAGTTAATGAAATTGAAAGTGTAACTGAGGAGCAACTGCATAATGTGTTCGAAAACATGAAAAAAGGGTTAATGCTTGCATAGAAGCTGGTGGTGAACATTTTGAACACTTACTGTGAATGTATATTCTTTGTACCATCGATAACCCATCGAAAGGGCCTGATTTGACGTAAAAGAAACTAAACTTAACTGTCAGAAATGTCACTGGCGTTCATTTGGGGACTGACGATATTTATATTATATTTGTTTACATTTTATCAACACCTTTATTCCATTATTCATTTAATATTAATAAAACAATCAGTTATGTTTAGAGATTATTGGTGGCTTAAATCTTTTCTATTGGTAAGTACCAATTTATTTACTGTAACTCGTAAAAGTTAATGAGTGTATATAATTTATTTCAGGTAATGTTTATGTACGAACAAAATTATTATATTCGTAATTGTATTCGAAAATTTAAGGAACGTTTTCCAGGTATTTTTTGGTAATAGTGGTAATAACTAGTACGAACTATATTTCAGTTCATTATTATTTTCGTTAAAAACTAACTAGATATAAATAGCTCAGTTTTTAAGGTTATGTTAATTATATCATAATTTTAAAAGTTAGATTATTGCATTTGACTGAATCTAATTAAAATATCGAATTCTAACATTAAAATATAATAATGTAAAGCACCTCTAATTAAAATTATGATTTTGTGTTGTAATTCTAACAATTACCTAACTGAATTTTCTTCTCGTAGTTGCAGGCCATAAAAAAAGAAGAAGATCTATTTTGTAAT